CCCCTATGGGGCCCATGTCCCCCCTCAGACCCCTATGGAGCCCACATCCCCCCTCAGACCCCTGTGGAGCCCCTGTTCCCCCTTGGACCTCCATGGGGCCCATGTCCCCCCTGGGATCCCCTATGGAGCCCATGTTCCACCTCAGACCCCCTGTGGAGCCCGCATTCCCCCTCAGAGCCCCAGTGGGGCTGCACAGCTCCTCAGACCCCTTATGGAGCCCATGTTCCCCCTCAGCCCCTCATGGGGTCTGTGTCCCCCTCAGACCCCCTATGGGGTCAGTGTCCCCCCCTCAGCCCCTCAATGGAGCCCATGTCCCTCCTTAGACCCCTATGGGGCCCACATGGCCCCTCAGATGTCTTATGGGGCCAGTGTCCCCTCCTCAATGGAGCCCGTATCTCTCCTTATACCTCTTATGGGGCTCACATCCATCCCTTAGACTCCAAAATGGTGCCCATGTCCTCCCTCAGACCCCCTGTGGGGCCACACTCCCCCTCAGACCCCTTATGGGGCCCACACCCATCCCTCAGACCCCCAATGGGCCCCACATGTCCTCTTGGACTCCCCTTTACTTCAGAGACCACTTTCTGCCATGGACCTGCCAGCCCAGGGATGTGCAGGGCATGGGGACGTGGGGGTTTTGGGGACCTGGTGGTGGGTTTGGGAGGCGTGGGGGGGTTACTGGGGATGTGATGGTGGGTTGGGGATTATGGGACATATCCCAGTAGACGGGGACCTCGCTCTGTCCCGCAGGATGAAGGAGTGGTGGGTGCAGGTGGGGCTGCTGAGCGTCCCCCTCCTCGCTGTCTACCTCCACATCCCACCCCCCAAGCTCTCCCCGGCTCTGCTCTCCTGGAGATCCTCTGGAAGCTACTTCATCTACAAGAAGCAGAACATCTTCTACAGAGGTGACGGGGCCACGCTGAGCCATAGGGATACCTCGTTTGTCCCGGTGGGGAGTGGGGCTGGGGGCTTGGTGGCCCCAGGTGATGTCCCCAAGGTCAGGCGGGGTGTTGGCAAATCCCTCCCAAAACATAATGGCTTTAAGAGGAGCCACTGCGTGGATCCAGGTGTAGTGTGGCTGTTCGTTATCAAAACGTTTTAATTGGGTGAAGCCACAAAGTTCTTGTGAAGCACTGACAATACCTTGGTGTCCATGGGGAAGGATCTCAAGTGCCTCTGATGGGTCACGGCGAGGAAAAGACATTGAAAAACCTTTTCGCTGGAGCAGTTGTTACCAGTCGTAGCAACTTTGGGGCAGCTGCAATTAATTTATTCTAAATAAAACCCTGGTTTGCATCAAGTACCTGGTGGTGGTGGCTGTGGTGGCTCGTTTGGATGGGTTTCCAAAGCTATGCTGGCACTGAGAAGCTGTGGTGTGAGTCCAACCTGCACTTGGTTTTGGTGGGAGCACAGGGAGAGGTCACACCGTGCTACTGGTTTGGTTCCCAGTGGGAGGGGAGGAAATTGAGGAGTAAAAAAGCTGACCCTGAGGTTGCCCCATTCCCTCCCCAGATTCCACCGGTGCTGTCGGCAGCTCCGACATCGTCGTCCTCCTCCACGGCTTCCCGACCTCCAGCTACGACTGGTGCAAGGTGAGGGGAGTGAGTGCATGGAATGGGCTGGATGCTGACACCAAAACCCGTGGTTTCTCCTGGTGACAAGGTGGTGGCTCAGCTTGGTGTGGGTGACACTCTGGAAGAGTCTCTGCTGGGGACACCACCACGTTCTGGGATATCAGAACGTGATATCCCATCCCTCTCCTGACACCTCACACGGAACCCAAGCTCTTTTCACCCTTACCCACACTCCATCCTAATGCAGGAGGAGAATTCCCACAACTATTTATTGGGGTGAGGTTTTCTTGGGATGATCTTGCTGTTTATTGGGAAATTTCAACCTCCTGGTGTTTTCCTGGAGCTGGAAGGTGCTGTCTGGGGGAGCGGAGAGGAACGTGGCCATCCATGGCTGCGCGTCACTGCAGAATTTTCCTCTCTCCATTCCCATCTGACATTTTTTTAATGCATTTCTCCTCTTTCCAGATCTGGGAAGGGCTGACCCAGCGGTTTCACCGGGTGATTGCTCTGGATTTCGTAGGGTTCGGTTTCAGCGACAAGCCTGTGAGTAACCTGTGAGGAACATTGTCACAGTTCCTTTTGGCCCAGAGGTCGTTCTGCCATGCTCATGTACCTGGAAAATTGATGTTTGCCAATTTCCTCACTCATTTACATCTGCAAAAGGAATAAGACATTGTAATAGTGGAAGGGGTGGGGAAGGTGCATTGTAGAGATGGCTTTGTCACCGTCTTGCCTTTACTTGGGTTTGACGTGACTCCAAAGCACACCTTAACCCTTTTGGGGCATGGGAAGTTCTCCCATAATCTAGTGGATGATGGCCCAGAACATCCTGACTGCTGTGCCCGGGGTCACAGACTGTGGGTCTCCACCCCATATTCCTCCATTTGGGTGTTTATTCTGGAGTTTGTGGGCTCATGGTGGGTCAGGCTCTCACTGTGGTTTCTCTCTCACTTTGCAGAGACCCCACCGTTACTCCATCTTCGAGCAAGCCAGCATCGTTGAGGGGCTGGTGCGTCACCTCGGCCTCCACCACCAGAGGATTAATCTCCTGTCCCATGATTACGGGGATACAGTTGCACAGGAGCTGCTCCACAGGTCACCACAAACACTGATGCTCATTGTAGTCCTCAGCTGCTCCACAGGTCACCACAAACACTGATGGTTGCTCTTTGTAGTCCTCAAGATGATTTCCAGCAGATAAGTGGAAGAATGTAGCACAGAACCCCCTTCTCTTTGTACCTACAGCTGTAATGAAGGCTGGGAGGCCTCAGGGCATATCCATAGTAGGCAGATCTGAGGTTCCCATCCATCAGTTCCCAGTTGGTGGGATGTTTAACTTCCCTCCTGAGCTCCAAACGGAGGACAACAGAGGAGCAGAGATGATCTGACGCTGTTAATTTTACCTGCTGGTTGGTCACTTCTTGGAGCCTGGAGAGGTCTAGTTGTGTTTCACCTTCTTCTCTTCTGTCCCCAGGTATGAGCACAATAAAACTGGAAGCATCTTGATCAACAGCCTCTGTTTATCCAACGGAGGTAAGGTTTGCCTGGTGTGGTGGGATGGGAGGGATGAAGATCCATGGGATGGGATGGTCTTCCTGTCCCCATCACCCGAGGAAAAGCAATTAAGGTGCTGTAATTAACCAGGAGAATCAGTCCTTGGGTAGCCTGTGTCACCTTTCGTGGCACCACGGAGAAGGGGAGAGGCTGGGAGAAGTGGAGCAAAACCCTTGTAATGTTACAACTCTGGTCTCTCATGTCCTTCCAGGGATTTTCCCCGAAACGCACTACCCCCGGTTCATCCAGAAGGTGAGCTGCCACCCCCTCTGCTTGTCCTGAATCTCTCCTGGCTCTGTGAGTTTGGGGTTTTACCTGGCTCAGATGGCCATTGCTTTTCCTGCACCCGAGCTGCTCGTAGGCATCGTTAGAGGCGGTGGGAAGAGGCAGGAGCTGCTGGGTTGTGGCTCGTCTCATCTGAACATCCTGGTTAATTGCTTCTCGAGGTGCTTTGGGGTTTTACCTGGCTCAGATGGCCATTGCTTTTCCTGCACCCGAGCTGCTCGTAGGCATCGTTAGAGGCGGTGGGAAGAGGCAGGAGCTGTTGGGATGTGGCTCATTTCATCTGAACATCCTGGTTAATTGCTCCTCGAGGCGCAGGGTCAGGGCTGAGCTGGGAAACTGCTGTGATAACTGCAGACAGCTTTTCCTGCTGGAAAAGCCCTCGGGGGAGGCAGGATTTATCCATCTGTACGACACTGAGTGGTGCCGTCTCCTTTTCTTCTGCCCAAGGTCCTCAAGGATGGGGGTTTGCTGTCCCCAGTCATCACGCGGCTGATGAACTTCTTTTTCTTCTCCAGAGGGTGAGTCAGGTCCCCATCCTGCTGAGCACAGTCTGGACGGGGGATGTGAGCCACGTGGGGAGGGGGTGAACGTAGGAAGGGGAGCAGATCCCTCAGCACTGTCCCTTGGAGAGATTTGCCCCTGCCAGAGGGTGAGTCAGGTCCCCATCCTGCTGGGCATAGTCTGGATGGGGGATGTGAGCCATGTGGGGAGGGGGCGAACATAGGAAGGGGAGCAGATCCCTTGGCACTGTCCTTTGGAGAGATTTGTCCCTGGATTTGATACCACAGTATCCTCCTGGAGAAACTGGCTGCCCATGGCTTGGATGGGAATACCCTCCACTGGGTTAAAAACTGGCTGGAGGGCCAGAGAGG